ACACCATAAAAACTGCAGAAGTGGTGTTGATTACCGGGATCTCCGTGGGTGAACACTTCCTGCCCACGTATCCTCTCGGCTCACCGGAAGTGAAAGTCACCGTGTCTAACGTGCCACCATTCATAAGAAACGATGCAATAATCAAAGAGCTGTCCAAACATGGGAAGGTGATGTCTCCGGTTAGGAGAGTGTCCTCTGGCTTTAAGTCTCCGCTGTTGAAGCACGTGGTGCCTCACAGGAGACACATCCTCATGATCCCCAACAACTGGAGCAGAGTGGTCAACCTCAGTTTTAAAATCAATGTAGACGACTTTGACTACTTCCTCTTTGCAAAGACTAATGATTTTAAATGTTACAGTTGTGGGAAAGAAGGACATCTGAGTAGAGCTTGTCCTGGGGAGAACGGCTCAAATAAAGACCAGAACCAGAAAGGTACTGAGGAGGGCAGAGGGGACAAGCAGGACGGACAAGAGGGAACAAGTAGAGCACAGGAGGCGAGGGTGGAGGAGACGGGTGGGGCTCAGGAGGTGAGGGGGGAGGAAACAAGTGGGGTACAGGAGGTGAGAGAAGAGAGGACAAGTGGGGGACAAGAGGTGAGGAAGGACAGGGCAAGTGAGGTTCAAAAGGTGAGGGAGAGTACTGGAGGACAGGTGGAGACAGGTAGGGAGGTGGACATGGAAGCAGACGAGGAGCAGCTCAAAGCCCCTCAGCTGAAGAGGAAACAGAGAGGAGACTCACAGGTCACAGCGGAAGCTCACAGGTGAAGAAAGTGGCAACTAAAGAAAGTGGAGGAGCAGCAGAGTGTGAGTCCAGTTGCGAGGAGGACTCTGAGTCCAGTCAGGAGGAGGGCGCTGCCAGTGAGAGGCCAGTGAGCCCTCTAAACACGGTGCTGGCAGCTGTAGGAGCTCTGGAGACTACAGCGTGGAGAAGATAAAGGAGTTTCTGAAGAGGAGTAAGAATGTGAGAGGAGCCAAAGTGGAGGACTACCTCTCTGACAAAGAGAAGCTTTCCAGCTCTGCCAGGTCTCACATGAGAAGCAAGGACAGAGGAGGTCTCACGAAGCAGGAAGGCTTCAGACTGAAGAAGATAGTTCACAAAGTGAACAAAGAACTGAACAAAGATGGTGATAAGTGAGAATAAGATCTCACAGTCTAAAGACAATCAAAGACACATTTATGTTTGTTGGACTTTATTTGTTTAACCGTTTTAAATGATAAAGAAACACGTTCAAAGAAAATAAAGGTTTTCTAAAAAAATCTCTCTCTCTCTCTCTCTCTCTCATTCCCCTCCCCCTCTCATTCCCCTCCCCCACCTCTCAGTCTCTCATCCTTCTAAAAATGGAACAGGGAGTCAGCTGGTGGTAACCTAGCAACAGCAGCATCTCTCAGAGGAGCATGATGTAATGCTTCCTGTCCTCGGGTGAGGAAGAGGAGAGGAGAACTAAAAGAGGAGAAGGGGAGATAAGGAAAGAAGGAAGAGTTGGTTCCAGGAGTTGGAGAAGGAGACAGCAAAGGGAGTGTGTGTTGGGGGGGGGGGGGGGGCAGAGGGGATCCAGTTTAGAAACCAGCAAGAGAAGTCCAGCGGTCCAGTCTGTAGCTCCTCCAGCAGGTGAGGTGTTGATCTGATCTCAGAGCAGATCCAAGCATTCCAGTTCAGTTTACTGGATCCTAGAACGGTTATCTTTATGTGGATGGTACCAGTAGAACCAGTAGAACCACGTCGTGGCCAGTGCACTGAGCAGGACTGTAAAGGCAGAGAAACACTGCAGTCTGGTGATCGGTGAACACAATCGTCAGTAAATACCCAATGGATCGCCATGGAGACTCCTGTTCAAGTGGCTCTTTTTGTCAGAAATGCAGCAACACTGTTCCGTGAGAATTCATACAATAAGTGGTGACAACTAAAATAAAAAGTAAATAAAGCTGCAAGTAGCTGTTATTGATATATATAGATACAGGATGAAGCAGCTCAGAGCTGAGCAGTCACATCAGCTGGTCTGTTGATGTTTATAATAGTGACGCACCTTATTCAGCAACCTGGCAGCAAGACATTTGATTTGCTAAAGTCGGCAATGGTGTCCCATAATGCACCTGAAGGTTTGAGAGTGGAGCTGGCTGCTCATCCATTGATAACATCCCAGAATGTCTTGTATTATCACAGTTAACATGATGGAGGAGTTTAATATGGCTGTAACAGAATAAATCATTGTGTCATCTGCATATAGATGGAAATGAAACAATTGCCGTACAATGAAGAGGTAATATTGTTTATATAATTAAATAACACGAGTGGTCCGAGGACAGAACCCTGGGGACTGAATATCATCAGAGATGATTCTAAAAGCACAGAACCAGGAAGAAGTGCATCAACAACCTCTGGAGATCATTACAGAGATCAGCAGTGTTGTTGTTAAAGCTGAGCCTATACTGTTGGTACCTGATGAGGTAGCAGGAATAGTGCCATGCTTCAGCCTTAAGCCAGACTCAACTGTAGTATAAATGCATGGAAATAATGTCAACTGTTCATTAACAAGTGATTCAGGTACGATCCTTTTGATATTGGACAATAATCATTTAAAGTTCATCTGCTCTTTGTCGGTTCTTCTTCTATCCTCTGTTTGCTCATGGGCTTAGGTTTGCTGTTACCTGCTTGTTACCTGCCTGCAGGTCTCAGTCTCTGTCTGGTCCTGGTCCATCTGGTCCTTCCCATGCTGCCTTCTCCAGCAGCTGTGACAGCATGAACCCAGTAATACTGGATCAGCAGCAGGATTTGATGAGGTGACTTCTAACCTCAGGTGCCTCTACAGTAACTGGAGATAACCTCGGTGTGTGAGGAGAGGGAGGCCTGAGCCCAACAGTTTACATTCCCAACATGTGGTCATATTATCCAAATAACGCTGTTTGAAATGTTCTGCATTGTTCTCAGAGATGTGACGCGGGATGCTTGAGCGTACTTCACTGTGAACAGTCAGCCGGTAAAATCATATTTCTTATTTAATGTACTATGCAGTACTTTCTGAGTGAGTATGCAGTATTCAACACAGGCTGTGTCTCTGGCCGCAGAACAGCTGCTGGAGGTCGAGGGTTAGCAATGCACTCATCTGTGTTATCAGCAGTCAGAAAGGAGTCAGCAGATACTTTATACTTCCTCCCTCATATATAATGTTATCCAACCAGTCAACCTGATCATGTAGTAGGTTTAGCTGTTGTTGCTGTGACCAGCTGTTTGAGAGGATCATTAAATACATTTCAGGTACATTCACCATCGTTTAAGAGCTGGTGGACAAGTCTTTCAAAATAAGACTCCGACTTTAATTAGTAACTTGGTTCTGAGGTCTGGTCAAAGATGGCGGCTGTGTAGAGATGAGATGCTGCTGTTTGGGATTTCACGGGTTGAAATAGAAACAGGGTGTGAAGGAGCCAGATGTGAACGTACTTCATTGATGCTGTTTACAAGAAATACTGACGACAGACAGATTGACACTCTTCACCAGCAGAACATCCACTACACCACAAATACAAGCAGAAGAAGAACCATGAGAGTGAATGAAGGAGGTGAGAGAAGGCTTACCGGAGGATCCGTGAAGACTCAAACTCCCCCCATTCCTTCTTCACTGTCTCCTACACCGTGTCCTTCAATGTCTTCTTCAATGTCCCCTTCAGTGTCTCTTCTTTCTCTTCCTTCAGTCCTTGTGCAGGAACAAAGATGGCGTGATGACGACGGCTCGCTGTGATTCCTCTTCACATAAACGTTAATCCACATCCACCCTTCAACACCTCCTTCCTCCCTTCCTTCGTCTCTTCCTTCCCTCCGTCCTCCCGTCATATATTCTCACAGCTGTAAGAATCACGGCTCACACTCACACACCCTTCAGCTGCACACACACACACACACACACACACACACATCCCGTCGACAGTCGCCACAAGAAATGAGAGGCTGAAACCACGGCAACCTGACAGCATCCTAACCCTGCTGACTCCTCCCTCTGCTGCTGAGAGAGAGGGAGCGACAGGCAGAGAGAGAGAGAGAGAGAGAGAGAGAAAGAAAGAGAGAGAGAGAGAGAGAGAGAGAGAGAGAGATTTGATTTTTAGAAAACCTTTATTTTCTTTGAACATGTTTCTTTACCATTTAAAACGGTTAAACAAACAAAGTCCAACAAACATAAATGTGTCTTTAATTGTCTTTAGACTGTGAGATCTTTTCCTCACTGAGCTCCATCTTTGTTCAGTTCTTTGTTCACTTTGTGAACTATCTTCTTCAGTCTGAAGCCTTCCTGCTTCATGAGACCTCCTCTGTCCTTGCTTCTCATGTGAGATCTGGCAGAGCTGGAAAGCTTCTCTTTGTCAGAGAGGTAGTCCTCCACTTTGGCTCCTCTCACATTCTTACTCCTCTTCAGAAACTCCTTTATCTTCTCCACGCTGTAGCCTCGAGAGCTCCTACAGCTGTTTTTCTCAGGACACGTTCTACTCTGATGACCCACTTTTCCACAACTTAAACATTTAAAGTCATGAGTTGTTGCATAAATGACGTAGTCGAAGTCATCGACCCTGATCTTGAACACTATGTTGAGCCCCTTGCTCCTGTTGTTTGGGATCAAGAGCAGCTGTCTCCTGTGAGACACCACGTGCTTCAGGAGAGGAGACCTGCACCCAGAGGACACCTTCTTCACCTTAGACACTATCCTCCCGTGTCTTGATAGTTCTCTTGTTATGTCTTCATCTCTGTTGAACGGTGGGACGTTGGACACTGTTACCGTCACAGCCGGTGTGCAGAGAGGGTAAACGGGGAAGAAGTTATCGCCCACCTCGATCCCGTTGTCAATCACCACTTCCGCATTACTGATGGTATCTAAAAAGATGACCACGGCATTGTTCATTCGCGCAGCGGACTTCACGCTGCTGTGGCCAACAAGTTCACCCACAGCCAGGCTGCATTCCTCCACTGACACCGGGAAAGTCGGCGGGATCTTTATGCTGTGTTTCCTTGTTAATTCGGTCATGTCCGTGGTGGCGTTCTACAGGTGTTCCTGGTGCTACAGGGTCTACATGTGGCCCTGGTTCTACATGTGCTCCTGGTGCTCCAGGAGCTACAGTTGGTCCTGATGCTCCTGGTTCTACAGGTGGTCCTGGTCCTCCAGTCCCTGAAGGTCTTCATATTTCGTCTCCCCTGCTCTGTCTCTGCAGGCTCTGCTGAACCTGTTGCTGACAGGTAAGGCCAGTCCAAATGTCTTCAATGGGACCCGGTCCTTCGGGGAGGACGGACGTCCTCTGGAGCACCCCCTGCAGGGCGTCCTGTCTCGAGCTGATGTGGGGTATTTACTGTGGAACCGAGAGCAGATGGAGAGAGGAAGACTTCCACAGGTATTTTCAGTCTCCTCGATAGTACTAGTACTGTAGAACTTCTAATCACAGGTAGACAGAAGTACTCAGATCTTTTACTGCAGTACTAATACCAGTGTAAAAATGCTCTGTTACAACTGAAAGTACTGCATACTAAATTGTACTTAACTAAAACTACACAAGTATTACAAGCATCACAATATAGTTAAAGTACCAAAAGTAAAAGTAGTCATTCTGCATAATAATATATACATATATATTAGGGCTGGGCAAGTTAACGTGTTATTATCGCGTTAACGCACTAATTAATTAACGCCGACAATTATTTTGTCGCGCGTTAACGCAGGTTCTTTTTTATTATTAAGCGGACATTTTTAACACAAGAACCCGGCAGCGAGCGGTGAACAGCTGTTTGTGTAGTGTCACTTCCGTCTCTTCCTGTTCCCTTCACCTACATTCCCCTGGGTCCTAAGTCCCTCCATGTACAGCTTCTTATTGCCGTCTATGTACCAACGTACATTCATAATAAATACCACATATTACGGTAATCAGCATTGCATATGTGTCTGACCACAATACCAAAAAAGAAAAAAAGAAATGATTAATTCAAATTATTTTTTTCGAGTTTTTAAAGTGTTTTGTTTGGAATATGTATAATAAGCATCATTTAGTATCACTACTGAGAATTTAACAAACATAAAAACATGACGTAGATATGTTTGCAGTTTTCAAGGTGTATATTTAAATATCATCTCTTACACATGAAGATAAAGTTATGAACACCGGCTGAATATCTATGATCAGAATCATTATAACTGTGTTATAACTGCTGCTGTGTAAAGGGAATACTGCTGCTAACAAGAACCTGATGTGTTTAAAGTGTTTACAAACCAAATGTTATTGACCTTTAGTTCATATAGCAGCACTTTAAAATAAAAGTGCAAAATACACTACTTTTGAATTATTGACTATTGAATTTTGCGCATCCTCACTCCCACCCTCACTTCTGTCTTCACTCCGTCCTCTCTCTGTCCCCTGTCCTCAGGTGGGCAGCATGCTGAGGACTCCTCGGTTCCCCGTGTGGATTTGTTGCATCAACAGCAGTTTCTCGGTGTTGTTCAGTCTGAACTGCTCGCTGCTCTCTGATTGGAGGATGGAGCACCTGTTCCACCTGTTCTACTACAACGGACAGAGCTCCCAGAGGACCACAGCCAGACTGACTGTAGGTGAGGACGCGGTCCTACTGGGTCAGGGTCTCTTCTGGCGCCTGATGGGATCTGATCCACACTCTGTTTGCAGATACTCACTCTCACCACTGGGAGGCGTCCTGCAGACGCTCGGACGGAGACCCGGAGACCAGGTTCCCCTCGCTGGAGATGACCATCAGGACCAATTGGGACGGAGCCACTATCGACTGGAGTGGCACCGTCCCCTTCTACTGATAGACCTGATCCAGTCTGGGTCCCTCACAACCACCTGGGGGTCTGTGAAGACCTGATTCACTGTGTTTATTAAAGACTGGTCACCTGATCTCGAGTCCTGTGTTTCTTCATGAGACGTTTATACATTTAGGACAAAATAAATCAGAGACTCTCTTTTAAGCAGGTCCAGGTCTTTATTTCGTGAAGTCATGAAGTCAAAGGAGGTCCTTTAAGGACTCCGTCAGATCTTTTGATCCACAAAGACTCACCTGCCTGGTGAAGAACAACATCTCAGTCTGTGGTAACAAACATGGGGCCCAGGGCCCAGCAGGGGTTCTGATACCTTCTAATAAAGGTCCAGGTTCAGGTCTCTAAACCATCCCGCTCCACTGTAACGAAGTGTACAGGACTCGTCCGTCTGGCCCCGGCGAGCAGAGCAGGACGGTCTTCTTCACGTTGGACCCCAGACGAGCCACTGAGAGGAGGTCCAGCAGACCGACGGACTCGTTCTTAGAGACACAGATGGCGATGAAGTGAGCGTGGAAACGAAGAGGGTCACCTGAGGATCAGACAGGAACCAGTGGGTTAACTAACCTGGTTATCAGCAGGTAGACTAACCTAGTTAACGAACCTGGTTATCAGTGGGTTAACTAACCTGGTTAGCGGTGGATTAAACAAGATATTTTATTGGCTGCTGGAGGAAACTGAAGGACCAATCAAGAGCTTCAGCTGAACATTTAAACCATAATTGGTTGGGTTCCTGGATGACCTGCTGAACCTTCAGAACATAGAAATTAAAAGTCCACACTCACCTGGATAGACCAGGAAGTCTCCTCCAAATTTCCCCGCTGAGGTCAGGTAGAAGCCCCGCCCCCTCAGGTCTGTGAACACCTGGTACCTGCCAGTGTCGCAGCTCAGCTCGTCCCGCCCTCTGATTGGCCGGTCGGCCCGCAGGATGGCCCGGGCCTCTGGACAGTAGGACAGACCCGCCCTCGCTGTGCTCAGCTGTACCGCCAGCGCCGAACAGGGGAAGGTAAAGCTCCGGTCCAGGGCCTCCAGCCGGCCTCGCAGGGCTCCGTCTAGGGCCCCAGCTCCAGACTCTGAGGAGACCAGGACCAGAACTGTTAGAGCAGACCGCAGGTACAGACGGAGCCATGACGTCATGGTGACCGGTTCTCACCTGTGTGTGAAGACGTCATGGCTCTCAGCAGTGCCGACTTCCTGTCTTCCAGAGCGAGGACGCTCTGCTCCTCATAGCTCCTCTGCTGGTCCTCCTGGTGCTGCTGCACCTGCAGACGAAGCTCCGCCCCTCTTCCATCCTGCTAACAACAACAACAAATCAAACTCACCTGAGGAGAACTCATCTGAGCAAACTTTCATTTGTTCAGATTAAGTTGAATCAAAGCGTCGTTATATGTATGTATGCATCGATAACTACACTACGAAAATATATATATGTATATACACATATATACATATATTTATGTGTATATATATATATTTATGTGTATGTGTATATA